AAAAAAGACTAATGTGTTTGTCTTTTTTTAAACTTTTACTCTTCAGGTCTCCTCAAGCTACGACGTGGAGTTCATGCGCTCCAAATCGATCTTCACATTACTGTTAGGATCGATAACTCAAAACCTAGTTCTCCATCAAGCCCAACATACAAGCCCAAATAGGGTTCCATTCTAAAACCAATTGGCAATAGAAGGAGTAGCCCACGAAGCTTATATATTGACTTGGAAATTTTTAATCTTTCGATGTGGGATTAGGTTTGCACACCCAACAAACCTCTCCTCAAACACAAGACCACATTGGACCTCCCCTTGAACGAAATTCATACGATCTGATCATCTTGTACCGCCGTTATCACCCAAGGAATCTGCCGCCTGACCACACCCTTTCGCCAGGAAGACTTTCAACACAAGGCATACGGATCCACTGGCCTTTCCGGCTCCACGGGGAATATGCACGTCATCCACATCGCAACTGAGCTACCAATTGTGGCTCTGATACCAATTGTTAGGATCAACAACTCAAAACCCAGTTCTCCATCAAGCCTAACATACAAGCCCGAATGGGGTTTTATTCTAAACCCAATTGGCAATAGAAGGAGTAGCTCACCAAGCTTATATATTGACTTAGAAATTTTTAATCTTTCGATGTGGGATTGAGTTTGCACACCCAACAATTACAGCCTCTATCTCCACTCACATTTGGATTGAGCTGGATGTTGCCATTGCCGCCACCCTCTTGACCTCCGGCTACCAGGGCTCGTGGAAAATATAACACTCACTCATGCGCATCAGATCCACACTTCAGTCGGTTCACTACCGGATATCGCACATCTTCCGCGAGTTGAACCGACCCGCTGACTTCCTAGCCAGTCTTGATGCTTCCACTCTGCAGAGGCACATTTTTCACCCGGACGGCGTCCCTCTCTGCCTTCATACTCTTGTGCGAATGGACAAACTTGACTACTCCTCTTTCAGATTCTAGTAGTTTGTTTCGTATTTTTTATGTTTTGGGCCACTTTGTGGTGCAGACTATTCGCCTGGGCACCTGTCCGCCCGTCTTCGGACTTTTCGTTTTGGTTTTTGTTTTCGCTTTTTGTTTGGAATTGTATATACCTGTGTTCTTTCATGCCCTTTTAGGGTCGTGACTATTTATTGGTTGGGACCAACCTTAATTTTCCACTCTTCTGGGGTGTTTTCTTCGTTTAAAAAAGAAAAACTCTACAGAGGCCCAAAATCTTGAAAGTCTAGTAAACGATCACCAACTTTGCTTGAATCCTAGTACGTGAATGAAATCGAGTATGTCAAAGAAGACAATGCGAAAGGACGTGAATCACCATTAGACGACTATGCCAATAAAGAGTCATTAAATTTGGTCTTAATCAATCGAGCAACATGGTTGTAATGTAATTTGTAGAGTGTAGTTTGTAGTGTATTAAGTTTTTAGTGTTTGTTGGAAAATTAAAAGGCTAAATAAAAACCAAATTACAGTCGGTTGTGCATTTAGGGAGGAAATAGAATGGGATAAAATATTGGTTATTGTACTAGGCTCAAGCATTTAGGAGAAAATAAAAAACTTACAATCAAAGGTGTGATCAAACTACATGTTGGATTATTTGTGTAGTCTTTCAAATTTATGTTGCTAACAAAATATATACGACCTCATTGTTTTAATAGTAAGACGGGCACCCTATTGAAACTTGATTCCTATCTCCGTATTTAAATAGGATTACAGCCTTCAAGTGCCATTTTTCTAAGTTAGTGCCTGTGTAGTTTAAAGTCTTTTACATTTACCTGATTTTGTTGCACACATATTCTCTCTTTTGAAATACAGGACAAGGCAAACGATGATGGACGCTAAGTGGACGACGCACTCGAAGAAGCTGGCAACAGATGAGGACTTGAAAGATGAGCCAAACCAGTCTCCTGAATAAACAATAGAAGTGAATCACTTGCCGGAAAGAAAATTGAACCAAATCATATGAGATACCAAATTATTTTAAAGTGTGTTTAATCATACGCTGAATCGTATATTTGGCTGAGATTAGTTTCTCTGAATTTTAACTGCAATTAGTTGTTCCATACAATTGCTAGTCCTCTATGTACAAGTCCTATATCTCATTCCTACCACTTTTAAGAACACATGGAAAATTATAAGGGCAAATTTAGCCAATTTTTAACTTGGTTATCGACTAAATTTGAGTCGGCTGTGCACGACGACTAGTATTACACACACACACACACACACACACACACACACACACACACACACATATATATATATATATATATATATGAAAAATAATTCAAATATAATGTTAATTATATTTAGGTACTTTTAATATGAATTAATAATCATTATAATCCAATGAAAATGAATATTGATAGGTTTACAGAGTTCAGATTAACCAAATTTTCATTATTTAATTGTTGAAGCCTATAGATTTTCTTTTTCCTCATTTTTTGTAAATATTTTGGTTGGACATTTAACATATAATGACGAAACTTATAAGTACATACTAGTGTATACCCCGTGCGATGCACGGAAACAATATTAAATTAACAATATTATAAATAGACCTCGAGTTTGAGTCACTCAATGATCGAAGTGGAAACTACTATTGATCCTATTTAAAAAGAGGAAGCAAAAAAAATAATTATAAATTAAAGAGGAAGATAAACAACACTTAATAATTATAAATTAAAGATTCGGAGCCAAACAATATAAAATTATTTTGTATAAGATAATATAAAAAAATTTGATTACACACCATTTCAAAATTATTATTATACTTTTTTTGTATGGTTAGCTTATAATATTTGTAAAAATATTAGTAATTAGACCGATAAAAAATAGCTTCTTAAAGTAGATAATGGATTTTCAGTAGTAATTATGAATTGGTTTATATTTTATTTTATTTTTTCTTTTTAAAGATAATGGATTTCTAGTAGTAATTATGAATTGGTTTCTATTTTATTTTATTTTTTTAAATCTGTATAGATAAGGGATGAAATTTTTTAAACACGAGAGACGTATGCAATGAGATTTTATAACAGAAGAGATAAGCGTGTAGATTTATACTAAAAATAGGAAAAAGAAAAACAAATATTTATTGTCAAACAACAGTTTTGATAAGCTAAAAAAAATGAGCCGATTTTTTTGCCTATTTAGATTTGTCCAACAATTACTATATTAGGATATATTTAATGATTTTGGCGGGAAAAAGTTTCTAAATTTGTAAAAAAGTTATTCTTTTTATATAATGATAGATTCATTAACAATAGTGAGAACTGTTGTTCGTTGGCTTAGTAGGAGGGTGTAAAATACCCCATAAAAGCAAAGTTCAAGAGATTGAACTTGATTGTCATGGGAAGTGGTGACGAGGCACCTCACCCTTCACCTCACTCTTCCTATAATCAAAGGGCTGTTTCATAAAATACACTAAAATATAGTAAAATACAAGTACCTGACTGAAAAAGCTTGTTACAGCACCCAAAAGCAGAAAAAGACCAAGGTGAATTGACATTTTAATCACCGTTCCTTCATCAGAACTTGCGAGCTCAATAGGCATGCTTTTGTCATTTTACTTTTATCCTCTGCGGCAAATGGCAGTGGCCTTCCATAGGAAATTTGACCAACTGCGAGGGTCTAACTAGTAATTTAATTCAAGAGCCTTTATGATATCTGCAACAGCCTCTTCAATCNAAAAATGCTAATCAGAAAATAAAGAGAGTTTTCCTTAGTTCTCTTCGAAATAAAAAGCAACTGTTGCTTTCTCCAAACAAGAACAATAAAGAAGATAAAATTTCAGATGGGTATTTTTGATTTCCCTTTTCCGCGGGTTCTTTTTGTATCTATCGGATTTTAGATAATCTCTGGTAATGTTCATTATCTCTCTTTTTTGACTATTAAAAAGCGGAAAAAGATTCGTAATATGTGAACTCGCGTGCTTTTATTTATTACTGCTATGTATGTTTGGTTGTCATTTTCCAACTCCGTTTCTTGTTTAATTCTTATTAAATTAAGATTTCTTCTTCACGTCTGTAACCTGGTTAGTAGTCTATTTGGCTTTTGATTTCGTGCCAGTTTAAATACCATTCTTGTTGTTGTTTTCTTTTCTTTCCTTTTATTTGTGGGCTTTAATAGTCGAGAGTGTTTTCAGTGGCCGAAGGTGAAGACTTTATTTCAAGGATCTGGCATTGCTATTGAACTGCGAAGGATGTCGCAAACTAATTGGGAAGCTGACAAAATGTGAGGTTTTCATTTTCATTATTATTTCGTTGCCATTGTCACTGAAAAGTTCTTAGTTTTCTTGTACTCTATGTTGGCTTACAGTAACATACTTCATTTTCTCTTTCTTTCCAGCTTCGGGGTGAAGCTTCCTGTTTTGTTTCTTTGTTCTATCTTTCTCGTTTACTTCCAATTTGTTTCCTTCTGTAATTTTGTGCCTGTTAATTTCGATAAAAACTTCATCCCTACTTTTGAGTTGTCTCTTTCATGCGTTTGTATTTCTGAATCCATGGTTTCTGTATCACTAAAGAGTAATTTTTTTCCCCTAGAATATTCTTTTTGATTATTGATTGTGCCCTTTACATGTTCTGCTTGATGGGCACTTCCATTCTACCTTCCTGAATTTGATATTGATTTGAAGACACCATTGGGGCTCTACACGTTCCTCTATTATTTACTCTGGCATGATCTATAAAGGGGCATAAATTCCCTTTGATTTGAATTTCTTATTTTTTTTAGGTTGGATGTCTATATTCATGATTATTTAGTGAAGAGAGATTTGAAGGCCACTGCTCAGGCTTTTCAAGTTGAAGGGAAAGTAGCATCTGATCCTGTTGGTATGTATATATTGGAAGCTGCCCAAAGAGTATTAAGCTTTTTACTTGATGAATTATGACCTTCCTGCACATTGAAGTTCTAATTTTTCCTTTTTTTATTTTTTGTTNNNNGTCTCACATATACTTGTTGCTTTACTTTGTCCATTGCAAATGGAGCTGGAAGAGTCATTGTTGACAATTCTCCTGGCATAGTGCTAATACTGGACTAGATCAAAATGGCTCAATTAAATTCTAGTGCTTCTTCTATTAGTGAAGTTTCTAGAAAAAAAAAATATATCAAACGGCGCAATGCACCTTGGGTCGCTACGGAAACAGCCTCCTTGTATAATTAGAAGGGTAAGGTCTGCGTACAACTGACCCCCCAGACCCCAACCTGTTGGGAATATACTGGGTATGTTGTTGTTGTTGTTGTTATACTTGCTGCTTTACTTTTTAATTGAAACATAATGTTCAATGAGCTATTAGCTCAAATGGTACTTCACATCCTTTTACAAGGGAGTTGCATTGATCGATACACATTTCGATCTCTGTACCTCGCGGTCGCACATTACCTCACAAATTCTCCTACTCATTCACTCACATAAGTCCAGTTGCTATTTCTATAACCAATAAATATTCATTGTTACATATTGATCCCATATCATATCATTTGGGACCTGTGGTTTGACAGAGAATGGTCGTGGGGAAACTCTTGAAACTTAACGATGAGTTTAAGAATGTGGTAGAAATGATGAACACTGACACATTTAAACAATTATTTGAATATATTACTGATGGTTAAGACCATGCCAATGAGTGCATAGCACAGTTTGTCGAAAAAGTATAATAATAAACGTAGTCTTTCTTGAAACGATGCGCAGATGCAATTGGTAAGCTAGAAAGTGAGATTGATTGAATACATCACTGTTTTAATCTATGGACATATTTGTAGAAAATTAGAGGAAGTATAAAACATATCGCTTATTTGCATCGAAGCCCTGAACTAATATTTTACTTAAAAAAAGACTCAGTTAATGAAGGCTAGAGAGCAGCACCACCAACAACAACAGCAACAGCCGGCACCGCCCCACAATTCTCAACAGCACCAACAACAGCAGATTCAGCTTCTATTACAAAGACAAGCTCAGCAGCAACAACAACACAATCAACAACAACAACAAAACAATCAACATCAACAGCAGCAACAACAACAACAACAGGGTCATCAGCAGCAACAACAAAGGCGCGAGGGAAGTGGACACGTCATGAATGGATCAGCCAATGGAATTGTGGGAAATGACCCTCAAATGAGAAGAAATAGTGGTGGGACTGCAAATGCTTTGGCCACAAAGATGTATGAAGAGAATTTGAAGAGGGATTCTTTGGAGGATGCTGCTTTGAAGGTATGCGAGTTTACGTCTGAGGGTGTGGAAGGCTGAGAAGCTTTTGATACCCGTCGTTACTGAGGTTTGACTGTTCTTTTATTTTTGGCTTTCAGCAAAGGTTTGGTGATAATGTGGGCCAGCTTTTGGATCCAAATCATGCGGCCATCTTGAAACCAGCTTCGGCCTCTAGCCAGCCGTCTGGGTATGCTGGATTCTGTTAAATAATTATGATTATAGTCTGTATTTTATTTAATGAATATAATTTTTGGTGTTTTCCTTTCGGTTGTTCTCATTAATGTATGTGTATAGATGTCTGGTGGTACATGTGCATTTATGTTCCTGAATGTTGTATGCTTTTTGCCTAAACTGAGCGTTAGTTGTCTTATTCCCGGTTACATTACCGAGTATTATTTTTATTTTTGTTCTATATATATTTTTTTTTGAAGATATTTATTGGTGTCAGTAAATTAATTTCAAATAATCTTGGCCATCCTTTTCCTTGGTTGAAACCTCTGACCTTTATGTCCCTGCTTCTCATTTTGGCAGGCCAATGTTGCACGGTGCTGCTGGTGGATTGTCTTCACAAGTTCAAGCACGGAGCCAACAATTTCCAGGGTCTACAGCAGTAAGCATTTTTCCTCATAAGAATCAATCTTACAAATAGATATTTGTCAGTTGTGTTTGGATTTACCTACTTGCGTCAATGTTATTCATACATATGTGTATGTGCGTGTGTATAAATGAACAGGATATCAAAACTGAAATAAATCCTATCCTGAATCCAAGAGCTGCGGGCCCCGAAGGATCACTGATTGGAATCCCTGGTATGCCACTATCCGTTGCCTTCACGCAACCTATGTTAAAAAAGTAGATCTAACATTTTTCGTGGAAAAAAAAAATTGAGTAATTTCCATAAGTTGATCGCATTCAAGACATGGCAAAATGATAAATTTGGATCTACATGAACAGTGTTGGATCGAAAAATAGTCTTCTGTGCATCGTGGAATCTTGTTCTCTGTAAATGTTGCTAATGTTCCTTTCTAAATTTTAGGTTCGAATCAAGGAAATAACAATTTGACGCTGAAAGGTTGGCCTTTAACAGTAAGTACAATGTACTTTAATAGGTTTTCTTATTATTTCATCTCTGGCCATCCTTTTTTTTTTTAATTTTCTTTTATGTGTGCGCGCGCACGCATGCTAAATTGCAAATTGCGGCTAACATTTATGGAGAAGTTCCATAATTACAAAACCCCCCGAAGTTTATTCCGTCGACTATTTTTCATCTTCACATGTAAAATTATTTGGAAAATTCCTTCTGTATTAGTTCTTCCCCTCAAATTTTAGGCAGAATAAAACATCTTCTTTTTTATTGTTTATTCATAATAAATTGTACTTGTTTAGATACCTTGTCACTACCTCAAAATACCACATTTTCCTTTTTTTTTTTCTTTTTTTTTTAATGATCCCTTTTGGTTATGCTTACTCATCTACGTATTTTTCTAGGGCCTCGAGCAGCTTCGTTCTGGGCTCCTGCAACAGCCAAAATCATTCATGCAGGGACCACAGCCCTTCAATCAATTACAGATGCTGACACCTCAGCACCAGCAGCAACTCATGCTCGCTCAGCAGAGCCTCGCTTCTCCATCCATCAGTGAAGTCGAGAGCCAAAGGTTGAAAATGCTTCTTAACAACCGAAGCTTCTCTATGGGTAAAGATGGGCTCTCTAATTCAGTTGGTGATGTGGTGCCTAATATGGGGTCCCCCTTGCAAGCTGGCTGCCAGGTTTTGCCTCGTGCGGATACTGAGATGCTGATGAAGGTGCTCTTTCTTCCCATTTGAATTTGTCTTTTTTCAGTTCTACAGTTTAGTTTTGGTTGAGTTATGATAAGCCACACAAGATTCAGGTTTAGGTCAAGTAAGAAAAAAATCATGTTTTCTAAAAAAATAAATAAATTAATAAAAACAAAAATTTGCAGAATAAAAAATTCAAGGCTTGTAAGTTGTGGCACTTTGATAGGCCTGGATTTTAATTTTGAGATATATCATTAGGCCTAAAGCACAAGGATATGCTTAGTATTTTGTTGGTGACACTGAAATATTAGAAGGAATCTTGGTACTGTTTATGGATAGTTCGATTGCTGATGGAGCTGTTGATTTTGTCAAGCAGTTGAAATTTGCGCAAATGCAGCATCAGCAGAGCAGTAGCCAATCACAACAGCAACAACTTCAGCAACATGCTCTCTCTGGTCAGCAGTCGCAAAGTTTGATTCACAATCTACAGCAAGATAAGATTATGGGTAGTGGCAGTGTCATTGCTGATGGTAGCATGTCCAATTCATTCCGAGGAAATGATCAGGTCTTGCGTTTTCCATCTCGATAGCAATTTTCCCTTTGGTTTTTTCGTTAAGTATTTTTTTTTTTCTATTTTTATATTCTTGATACTTCTGAAACTATTACAGCTCGATTGAAAATCACATGTTCGTCGTTCCTTCTATATTTTATTGTTGGATCGATCTTTTATTGTGTGTGTTACCGTAAAATATCCGCCGCTCATGCTTCAAGGTTATTATTGATAGTGCAGTCAACATGTTTTCAGGATAGAAGTCTTGTATTGCCCTTACTACAATAATATTGTGCAATCAAGATTCTACATGGATTGAAAAAATGTTGACAATATCTTTGTGTTGGTTGGTGCTAGAACTCTCTATAAGTTGGACCTTTATCATTTCATTTTGTAAGTATCTCCAAGGTGATCTATCCCTGGTGATTCAGATTCTACTTTTTAGATGCCTTTTCTTTATGTTTTTTGCCCTTACCATTTATGTTTTGTTTTCGTTTGTGTTTTGGTTATTTTGTATTTTTGCTCTTCTCTCTCTCTCTCTCTCTGTGTAGTGTGTGTATGTGCTGTTAACTGAGTTAAGATTCCTAACATGGTCTCCAATGCATTCTAGGCTTCAAAAAGCCAGGCTGGCAGAAAGAGAAAGCAGCCCGTATCTTCTTCGGGCCCTGCCAACAGCTCAGGAACAGGAAATACGGCGGGCCCTTCTCCAAGTTCAGCCCCATCAACGCCCTCGACTCATACTCCGGGAGACGTGATGTCGATGCCCGCCTTGCCACACAGCGGCAGCTCCTCAAAGCCTCTCATGATGTTTGGGGCCGATAACACGGGCACTCTCACTTCACCGTCAAATCAGTTGGTAAATAACATGTATCATATTTTGAAGAGTTATTGTTCGATCTAGACATGGCTAGTGGGCTGATTTGGCCCATTAGTTGCCAGCCCTAACCCGTTTACCCGGGCCTCGGGCCAGAACTTGGACTGAGCTTGTGTGTTACACGGGCTGGATCTTGGCTGCCCCAAAAATAGAACACTGCAGTCAATTTCTTTTCTCTCCTCTCAATTTTCTATAAATTATATTAATTTAGCTAATAAAAATACATTTTAACCGGTTCAGTCTTTGTAAATCGTTGACCCGCCAGGTTGGGCCCGGCAACGGAAGATCCGGCTCGTTGGTCATGTATAGTTCGATCTGGAAATTTTTTCTCTCTTAACGTGTTATTTTGTGCAGTGGGATGATAAGGAACTCGGGCAAGCTGATATGGATCGTTTTGTGGATGATGTAGAGGATAATGTGGAGTCTTTCCTGTCGCATGATGATGCCGACCCCCGAGATGCGGTTGGCCGCTGTATGGATGTTAGCAAAGGTAATGAAATATTTTCCGTTATTTTGGTTTTATTGCTTGAGGCTATTTTGTGAAGTTACTGCATTTTTTGATTTTATGCATGTGGAGGATTTATTGTGTTTCTTGATACGCAAAAGTTTTGATTTTGGTCTGATTATCAATTATGGTCTTGTTTGATATCATTTGATTTCGTTATCTCAATTTGCAAATTCAGGTTCTTGTTTATTAGGGCAAATTTCTTTCGAAACTTCCTTTTTTGGCAAATTTTTTACTTTCCTTAATTTACTTTTGCCTTTCATCCTGTTATGGCCTTTTTTGTCGTGTCCTAGTTTGCAGAACTCCATGTATAAAAAACTTGGATAGAGTTTCTTCGGTAAATGAGTCGAATGAAACATGACTACATGTGTGTTCTATTTTTTCTACAAGTACTGTTTTTACTATGTTACTGATTGGAAATTATTGATTTAGGATTTACATTCACGGAAGTGAATTATGTTCGTGCTAGTGGAAGTAAAGTTGCTTGCTGCCACTTCTCATCAGATGGAAAACTGCTTGCCAGTGGTGGACATGACAAAAAGGCGAGTTTCAGGATTGAGCAACATTGTTCGCAGTCATGTGAACAAAATATTCGATAGCCCCTAATTAATGCAACTTGGCAAACATCATTTTTATTCATGTCACTTTTTACAAGCAATGAAGTTTTCTTGACATTTATACAGGCTGTTCTATGGTACACGGATTCTCTGAAGCCGAAAACTACGCTTGAGGAACACTCAGCACTTATTACCGATGTCCGTTTTAGTCCTAGCATGGCCCGCCTTGCCACATCATCTTTCGATAAAACCGTCAGGGTCTGGGATGCAGATACTGTTAGTTGAAACTTCACCCTTTTCTTATTTTTAATAGAAAAAGGATGGGATAGTGACATTCTTCTGTTCTCCTTTCGAGTATCTGTCTTCTT